TGACACCTCCACCCCCCCACCCCGCCCCAAAAGAGGCTCCTTCATCCCTTCCTTCCCGAGGGGCAGCAGGTGGAATGCCACGTTCCCAGGGGACACCACTGCGCCTCCTTTCCCTCTTCCAGGGGCAGGGAAGTGGATCCAGCGGGAAAAGGAGGCTGCTGCTGCTGGTGGTGGCTCATGGTGTGTGCGGGCTGGCACCGGCACCGCGCTGGGTGGCCCGGACCTTCCTCCCCACCTCCCCCTCCTCCTCTCCTCTCTCCCATTGTTCAGGGCTCAACTCCCCGAGGGCTCGGGAGCTCCCAGCACACATGGAAGTGATTTTGGAGAGGCCTGGGAGGGGGTCGTGGGGACCCTGATTGCAAACAGCTCCCCTGTCGATTGTGCTGGTTGGGCTGGGATCCTGCCCTGGCATCCTCCTCCTCGTCCTGCTCCTCCTCCTCCTCCTCCCAGGCTCGGGATGTGGAGGGAAGGTGCCAGAGCTGACCCTGAGCTTTTCCAGCCCTTCAGAGCTGCAAGTGGAGGTTGTATCCAGCATCCTGACCTGGGTGTCCCATCGGTATCCAGCCCTAAGGAATGGGAATCTCCTGTCCCCTCCCTGGGGACTCACCCAGCCTTTCCTGCCTCTTTCCTTTCCCTTTGGAATTGCTTTTTCCCTGAGAGTGGTTTCTTACTGTAGTGGTTTTAAACTGCCAGAGGGCAGGGTTAGATGGGATATTGGGAAGGAATTGTTGGCTGTGAGGGTGGGGAGGCCCCTGGCCCAGGTTGGGCAGAGAAGCTGTGGCTGCCCCTGGGTCCCTGGAAGTGTCCAAGGCCAGGTTGGAGCAACCTGTGCTAGTGGGAGGTGTCCCTGCCCACAGCAGGGGGTGGAACTGGATGGTATTTCAGGTCCCTTCCCAACCCAAACCATCCTGGGATCTTAAGGGAGCAGGAGAGCTCCTCACCTGCCCTCTCCTGGCACCCCATCCCTGTCTGGGAAAGCACTTTGGCCCTGGGGGGACCTCCTTCCACCCTTTTTGCTTCCCCTCAAACTGCAGGCTCATTCCCTGGGTCCCTGGAGGAGCCAGTGTCTCCCTGTCCTGGGATGGGATGTGGCCATTCCCTTCATCCTCACAGAGGAACTTGGAAGCAAACACGGGATGGATCCCTGTGCCTCAGAGAGCACTGGAAACACTTTGGCCTCCTGGCCCTGCTCCAGAGGAGGAAGGGAGGGAGGAGAGGGCTCTGCCTGTGGTTTGGGATGTGCTGCAGGTGCCAAGGACACTCTCCTGCTCATCTGCTTCCTGCTGGGAAACCCTTTTCCCTGCGTGAGGTGTGGCAGGGCTGGGCAACCCCTGCTGTGCTCCCTGTTTGCTTTGACACAACCCCAATCCCGCCTCTGCCTCCAGGGCCTGGATTGCCCTGCTTCCCTTGGCTCCCTGGGATGCTTTTCCAACGAGCAGCTGGAGCCAGGAGCTTGTCCTTGAGGTCTTGGATCCCGATACCGGTGTGGATGTTGGACAAGGTGATGCAATTCCCAGGTTGTGCTGCTCAAAGCCTCGCTGGGATCCAGCTGCCTGGGGAGGACCTGGCTCAGCTGTGCTGCTCCAGCTGGAAAAGCCATCTCCAAATCCTCCCTGGAGCATCTGCTGGTAACTCGGATCTCCCTTTCCCCCCCCCCCCCCCGGCAGATCCGGGCCTGCCTGTGCTCCTTGAGGAAATCAGGGCTTGTGGGACCTGCCCGTGCAGATGGATTGGCTGGGATTTGGACGTGGATTTTGGCTTAACCATTGATTTCCCAAGGAGCTCCTGCTCCCAGCAGGAATGGAGGAGGAAGCCTGGGAGAGAAGGATGTCTGGGAAGTGTGGGAAGAGCAACTCAACCCCTTTGGCCTCGGCTCCCGTGGAAACATCCTGAGGTTTTCCTGATTAATGGAGGGAAAAAGGAAACCAGACTTGAGCTGGGCCACTCACGAACTGGGGCACGAGCTGACATTCCAGCCTCTCCCAGCCCAGCTCCCGGTGGGATTGGCTTCGCTGGGATGTCCTGGAGCTCAGGCTGAGGAAAGGTGGATCCTGCTGCCCCTGGCAAGGACTGGGGGATTCTTCTCCTGGAGAAAGGAGGTGTGGGAGGAAGACGCCAGAGCCTGGAAATGTGCTGGAGCCCAGGATTGTATTGGAACATGTGAAGGCTGCTGGATCCCAGAAGGATGCTGGAGCTTGGAATGTGCTGGATCCCAGGAGGATGCTGAGCCTGGAGTGGTGGTGGAGCCCGGGATGACACTGGAAGTTGGGATGTTTCTGGAGCCCAGGGTAATGCTGGAGCTTGGAATGTGCTGGAACCCAGGACAACGCTGGAGCCTGGGGTGATGATGAAGTGTGGGATTATATTGGAGCTCAGTGGGATGGTGCTGGAGCCCAGGAGGGTGCTGAATCCCAGGATAATGGAGCCCAGGATGACGCTGGAGCCCAGGATTATATTGGAACCTGGGGTGACGATGGAGCTTGGAATGATGCTGGAGCCCAGGACAGTGCTGGAACCCAGGATGAGATTGGAATCTGGGATGATGATGGAGGTTGGAATGATGTAGCCTGGGAAGCTGCTGGAGCCCAGGAAGAATCTAATCCCTGCTCATTCCTGGTGTGCAGCATCTTGGCAGGCCCAGCTCCCTGCCAGGCTCAAGGCAAAACTACCACTGTTTAATTAATTAATTAATTAGTCAATTAATCCCCTTTCCTGGCCTCAGAGCTGGGTGATTTCCACTCCTGCCTGACACAGGTGCTGCTCCCATTCCCGTTCTCCCTCTTTTTGCTGCTCTGGATCTCTCCAGGGGCTGAACTTGGCCCATCCCAGCTGGAACCAGGATCCATCCCCTGCTGGATTCCTCAGATTCCTCAGGAGGGAAACTGAGGCACCGGAAAGGGGAGAGCTGGTGGTGCATCACCTGGCAGGGCTGGGACACGAGTCCCATCGGCATCCCATTGGTTTCCCTGCCTTTGGAATTGGGACGGGGAGCTGTAAGCGCCGGGATAACCCAGGACAAAGACGTGTCCCTTTAAGACGGCAGCTGGGAAAAAGAGCGATTTGCCAGGAAAGTCCCTTAAGTCGAGGCAGGGAGTAATTGCTGGGGAATTCAAAACCGGGAAGGAGCCGGCAGGGACTTTGAGGGGGAAAAAGGAGG